CCATTTAGATGGGTTCATTATTTTTTATTAAGGTATATCTATGCTTTATAATATTTTAAATCATTCTCTTTTATATTTTTCCTTTTTGCAATTTAGTGGGACCAAAATGTAAAAATATTAAAATTTTTATCTAATATCATAATATATTTAAAAAAAAGGTTATAGGATTTCAATAGGGGCAGTCGCCTCTGATGCTCCCAATGTAAATCCGTCCTTATGTATTACTGTGAAAGTAAAACTTTTTTTAATAAAACTTATTTTTAGAAATACTTAGTTTTTGTATATTTGAATATATACTAGTTAATATAATCATATTTATTAATTATAAAATTTAATATATTAAAAATATTGTTAGGTTTGAATTTATCATTATTTTGAAATGACAAAACATTAGGCTAAATAAATTGGATCAAGATTTTAAAAAATATTTATTTAGTACATGTTCTTAAGTTTTATTATTTTTTGTACTAAATAAATAATATGATTTTTAAAGTTTAAACAAACATTTCTTTATGTTTTCATATTTCTTAAATCAAAACTCGTTTTAAACATTATTTATTTGAACTTAAATGAAAGTTCAATTGTTGTTTTTTAAAGTAAACTTATTCATTTTGGACTTAATATAATTTTGATAATATTAGTTTTGAGAAATAGATTAATTTAAGAAAGTTGTTTTACAATAACAAAGTTTTCCAATATTGAATTTTTTTAATTTTTTTGTATTAATTTATAAAGCTTTAATATTTAAATTTTATATAGTTGGAAAGCTCTTTAAGTTTACTTTCTAATGGATCAAACAAAATCAAAATCTAGATTTTCTAAAAAAAGATTCTGAATTTTTACTAGACATTCTGCAGTTGTATAAAAACTACACAAGAGATAGATTTAAAAATTCATTATAATTCGTACACAATGAATTAAGTGATAAATTTTATATGGATAGAAAGCCCTTTAAGTCTAGTTTCTAAATCTTCAAACAGTTTATGATTTGAATTTGTATAACTTAAGATATGATCAAATTAGTAAATAAAGTGTAAAACAAGATACAACAAAATAGGCTTGACCGGATTAATTCCCTAGGTTACAGGATCAATCCTTTAGCTGAACCAATCGATCGGGTAGTGTTTTTTAAGTGAAAAATAGTACAAAATTTGAATTAATCGATCTTCTCATGAAAAGGATCGAGGGGATCGATCGGATTTAGGCAGAAACTCTCAAACGGCTAATTTTTCATGCTTCCAACAGGCATTTCTTCTTCCAAACCTTTCCCAATGGCTAGTTTTTCAATTTCTCTATTTATTGACCATTCCAACACACTAAGGAGGTTGATGAATTAAGAGAACAAGATAAAACAAGTCATTCTTTCAAAAAAATCAAGAGTTTAAAGCTTAAATTCAATATCCTTTGTATTTCTTGTATCCAAAATATTTTTGTATATCATTCATCATTTTTTTTGTACTTCATTAAGCAAACACTCAACCTTGAGAGATATTTTAGTTCACAAAAACTATTTGGGATATCTTGTAAACAAGAGGTAAGGTATCTTCTTGATATTGTAAGAGTAGAGGTTGATATCGTAAGAGTAGAGGTTGATATTAAAGCTTTGAGAAAAAGAAAGAGATTTAGTACAAGATAGGTTTGTATCTAGTAAGAGTTTTTTTTCAATTAATGAATTGAAGCCTTAGTGTAGACAACTAAGAGAAAGAACGTAGGTGCCTTGTGGAGAAAGACTGAACCTCTATAAATCATTGTATTTGATTTCTTTATCTGTATCTCTTTATAATTTATAATTTTTTATATTTGATTTTAGGTTCATTAATTGTTATTGTTTGCATTGTATTTTTATAAAAAATGCTTATTGTTTTAATTTCTATTCAATTATATTAAAATTTTTTGTTTGAAAAGAATTTAAAGAGATCTAATTCACCTCCCCTCTTGAATTATCATCTCACTTAAAAAACTGACCAAAATTTTTTTCATGAATTATATAATATAAACATATATATTTGAAGTGCAATAGATAAATTGATATCCGTTTCATTAGTTGTTAAATGTTTATATTTTATTATGTGACTTAACATTTAATATTAAATTAATTATTTTTATTTTTATAATTATATTATTCTTTATTTTTTAAAAAATTATTTAATTCATAATGTTATTTTCTTTTTTACCGGTAATAATTTTATTTTCTTAAAAACTTATTTATCTTTATTTTTTAAACAATTCCATAATTTTAATTTTTTCACAAAAATAAAATAAATAGAAAATATACCCAATTTACTGAATCCTAAACAATTTTAAATAGACATGAGATTTAGGCTTAATTTTATAAATCCAACCCACCTCGTTTTTAGGCTTAAAAACCAATCTCATCTTTCCTTTTTGAACATTTTTTCCTACTTATTCTTTAAATTTACTGTTTTAAAAATTTAAATCTTTACTAAAAACTAACCCTAGTTCTTTTTTCACTTTACTTTATTTTCTCTACAGCCGCTTTCATTCTCTCTAAAAATCTATCTTTGATTTCTTCTACTATTTCCTTTGCTAGTGTCTAAATCCATCACATGCTCCTTTCTCATTCCTAAAAGCTTTTTCTGACTTTGTCTTGACTCTTCCATCAAAGTTTTCTTTTGAGTTTTAATTAGTAAACCTACTTTTATCTTTGTTTTTTTTTTTTTTTTACACAGCTCCCAAAGAAACCCAAAAAACTCCTTCAAAAGTCTCAAAAGTTTCACTAATCTTATCCTTTATTTAGTGTTCTTAAATTTTTTAGACTCAAAGAGAAAAAAAGAGATTGAAAATCTCAAATCTATTTTCTTTATAAACATCTCATATTTAAAAGTTTTTCTTATAATGACTTGTGTTGGTTTATGACTATTATATTTTTAGGAGAAAATTTTTTTATAAAAATTTTTTTTGTGATTTTTAAACAATTTTTGTTATTTTTTTGTGCATCTTTTAGTTGATTTTTATTTAATATATTTTTTCAATTAATTTTTTTTTTATTTGTATTTTGATAGTTTTGATTATTTGATTATGGTTAATCTTAAGATTCTTGAGTTCTACCTCCGTGTAGATATATTTTTTAGGGGTTTTTACTTTTTTGAGTTGTTGTGTTCTATATCTATCTGTTTGTTTTTTATTTTTGCAAAATTTTAGTGGCTTTACCATTATATCCGATAGCTCTTTCTTCATTTGCTATAGAGTAAGGGGTAAAATAATAATTTAACGTATTGGACATGTGTCAGCATGTAAGTTGTTAGGGATACTTTTAATCTAGTGTAGTATAGATATTGAAAATAATCCCCTAAGAAATGACTAAACTATCCCTTTTATGATTTCACAAGAATTTGACATGTGGTGAAAATGATTATTATGCTCTCTTATCATAATTATAAAAATATCTATCTTTTTATAATTATTTACTATAATATATCCTTATTTTAAATTAACTATTATACATTTTATATTATAATTATGAAAATACATTTTTCTTATAATTATTTAATATAATACTTTTATATCATGATTACAAAAATATTTTTTCTTTTAAATTAACTATTATGCTCTTATATCATAATTATAAAAATACTCATTTTTTTATAATTATATATTATAATATTTTTGATATATAATTACGAAAATATGTTTTCTCTTATTATTGAATTATAAAAATACTTTTTTTGTTATTATTAATCAAAATTATTATAATACATTTTTATCATAATTATGAAAATATATTTCTCATAAGTAATCAAAATTATTATAATACTCATTCCTATTATAATTATAAAAATACTTTTATAAATGCTTAATAAGAAATTGACATATGACACTTTATTTCAAAATCAATAACATATATTAAAACATTTCCTTTTATAAGTATTATAATAACTCTTTGTTTGTTTGATATGATATTAACGTATGTCCAAATTTATTATAATACTTTTTTACTAAAATTATGAAAATATTTATATTCTTATAATTAGTTAAAATTATTATAATACACTTATAAAATGATTAGAGAAATATCCCTCATAATATAATCGACTAAATTTACTACAATGCCCTTTTTTCCAAATTATGAAAATGCTCTACCATAATTAGCCAAAAATTATTATAATGTTTCTCATATCATAATTATAGAAATATTTTTATAAGTACTTTATAGGAAGTTGACATGTGACATTTTATTTTAAAAGTACTATTATACCTCTATTAAATTATTATTAAATTTTAACATAATATAAAATTAACTACTTATTAAATTATTAAAATTTCGATACACTTGGTTTATAAAAATTGGATGCATGACATTTTATTTAAAGTTACTATAATACCCTTAAAAATTACATATGAAATTTTAACATAATATAAAATTAATTACATATTAAATTATTAAAATATCATTGTCATTACTTCATAAAAATTTAACATAAGAAAATTTTACTTGAAATTTACTATATAACCCTGTTAAATTACTTATTAAATGTTAAATAACATATATTCTCATGAAAATTACTATAACATCCTTGTTTATTTAATATGATTTTGATATGTATTCAAATTTACTATAATATCTTTTTATTATAACTACAAAAATACCTCTCTTCTCATAATTAGTCAAAATTATTAGAATATCGTCTTATCATAATTACAAAAATATCTCTTATACTATAATTGATAAAAATCACTATAATGTTATTTTATTATAATTATAAAATATCCCTCCTACTATATTTAGCCAAAATTACTATAAACTCCTCATACCATACTTACAAAAATACTCTTCTTATTGTAATTGATCAAAATTATTATAATAACCCCGTAATCATTTTTTGGATTTGTGATTTTCCTTTACATATTGGAGGTAGAAGTAAAACACTGTTTATCTGGTTCATTGAGCCCGAGGAAGGATTAAAGTATCTAATCTCATTCGGATGAAAAAAAAAAAAAACAAAATGTTGGCCCGCATGACAGACGGGAATACTTAGTACTCTGCATAATACTTACAACTTGGATGCTGACAGGACGCACTTCTTTCATTTCCATTCTTATAATAATCAAGAAAATAGGTTTTGCAGTGCGATTCTTCACTCGGTGAAATAAAAACAATGGCAGAATTCAACTTTAACCAATTGATTGTCATAAATAGTTGGCTGTTAAGAATGTGGGGTGATTTTATGATGGATTTGATAATGTCATTCACTTCACATAAGAATGAAGAAGGTCGATGGGGGAACTTGGTAATTTAAGGCAGCGAATGACCGCAAACTTCGTATGTGAGTGAGATAGGGTGGGAAAGACGTGCTCCAAATTAAGTGATGCATGTTCAACTATCTTGAAACAATAATAATGTGAATAAATAATATCATAATCCATTTCTCCAAAGGAAATGTAATCATAACATCATAATAAATAAATTGATGTCCAAACACCCCTTGGATTAAACCAATAACAGCATTTATTATGATCCATTAGATCAGATCATAGGTTCCATGCTTAGCAGGCATAAAATTGGAAAGAAGGTCGATTGGATTGCAGATTAGATGCTATAAGTTTACAGCTTGACCTAATCAAAATTGGTTTCTTTTTGGACGTTTAAATAATTGATATGAATGAACAATCTAAACTACAACAAGCTAGTTGAAATGAATTAAATACCATGTTACAACCACCTGCCATGCTTGACCTCTTTAAAATTGTACAAGCATACTTGACCTCAAATTTTGAAGCTTCTAAGGCAGTGAACTCGTCGTGGAAGACTCCAGATTTCCATGGCAATTCATCAATGAAAATTACACTGTTGCAATAGAGGGTGAGAATAATCAACATACTTCTCCCAAAGGGGCTTGTATTTCTCTATCCCTATTTTCAACCACGGCTTTGAATTTCCATTGAAGTGTAGTACAGCTCCTTTCTCTATCAACTGGGAACCAACATTTGTGTAGCCCAGCCCCAGAACATGCCACGACGGATCCAATGCCTCTGTCAATCCATAGAAGGTCAGCAGTCCAGGTGGCAGTGTCCCAAGTTTCCACAATGTCCGGTCCACATTCCTTTCTTGCCAATAGTGGTAGATGCCAGTCACATTCCTCTTCCTCCACTCAACCAAATCAAAAACATTCATCCCAAATGCCCAACCACATGCATCAGGATCAAAATGTGCTCTTATAAGAGGGTGAGAGTAATTTAGGTACTTATGGTATCTGTGAAATGTCTCCATGCATGTCTCAACCGCTCCATTAACATTGCCATTCAAATCAATGGAAAATAGGCGAGACAAATCCTTCTGAACCACAATGTCATCATCAAGAAATACCACCTTCTTCAGTGCTGGAAAAACTTCAGGAATATAAAACCTCAAATGATTAAGCATTGAAAGGTACTTAGGATTTCGGAACTTGATTGGAGTACGGCTGTCATCATTATGGCCAGAAAAATAATAACTTTGAGTCTCAGAATCTTGGAGCTGCTTAAGAACTGGAACATAAGAAGCATTAAGCCACTTTAAGTCCTCAAACTTCTGAACCTCAACAGTCACTCTCCGAAAACTGTTCGTGGCAAACCAGGCCTTCATCGCTGCATAGTTTATTTCATCAGTTACAAGATGAAAGACAACCTTATCTGGATGTTTGGAATTTAAAGCTGTTGAGTTAACCACCACAGAACTTGCAAGGATGTTATCAGAGAAGACACAGAAATGATACATACTGTTATCTTTAAGTTTAGCTCCCAATTGCTTTCTTTCCTGGAGTTTGCTTTGTAAATTTGGGTTTTCAAACCATTCAGTAGTCAACTGAACACCGAGACAATATAGACTTTTGGGGACTTCCTCAGCAGCTATTTGTCCATACTTTGAACTTTTCTCACTAACTGAACTCATCTGTTCTTCAAGAGCTTGGATTTTGGCTTTCAATCTCATGATCATTGTTGCACTGTCATAGTGGAGTTGCTGGGCTTGATAGAGCAAAAGTGCCATATCATGAACTGCAGTCTCTGATTCTCCAACTGTCAAAGGAGTTTGCCTAGTCGCAGCATTTGACAGAAGGGCCTGTGAATTACGGATCTGGGCACTTAATTCCCAAGCAAATTGGAGATTGTTGCTTTCTTTTGCTATCACAACAAAAGCCTTTGCAAGAGAAATCTGGTTGTTAAGTTGCCTGGTGACAGAGTTGGGGCTTAGCATTTCATCAGTGATGTTTAGGCCTTCCATAATTCTCTCATGCTGATAACTTCTCTGCACACAAGGAACACAAACACATATTTTGTGAACTTCACAACGATAAAAGTTGATGGTTGAATGGTGGGGAACAAAAGAGAATTTGTACTTCTTTTTAGCAATATGACTATAAATGGAATTAGTGCCAATAGAGAACAAAGGCATCCTAACAATATTATCTAGTCATATGATTTGAGTCATGCTAATTTTCCATTCAAAATGTAAGACAAAGCACTCCAACTATTCTGTGGTTTAAAAAAACTGAAAGGGTTCATTTTTTATAATTAATTTTTTCCAGTGAGTTTAAGTGTCAATGCAGTGTGCGCATGAAAGAAAAGAACAGATGGCATTAAATACCTTATGCTGCTACTAGACAAAAAAAAGGAGAGAGAGATGGGGAAAAAACACAAATGATTTTGGTGTTATCTTCTACAAAATCGAAGGAATTACCAAATGCAATGTGACATTGAGGTCCCTTGACACATCATATTCAAAATAGTAGAAAAAGTGCAAAACAACCTTCGAAACTAGGTTACTGTTTCTAAATTAATAATCCATTAGATCTTACACCATGCTGCCTTTAAAGGAATATAGTATCTTAAGGGGCTTTTCTACATGCCAGTACAACCTTTCTACAAGATATTGTCCATGCAACAGTTAGTCTATGATTTACAGCAGTATTTATCAGCTACAATTCAATTTAAAGTGAATAGAGAATGTAAACAAAGTCCATATAGATCAAGCACTTAGAAGGAACTTGGCAAAAGTAAATGGTAATAAGTAAAAATTTTAGCATTATTATGCAACTCGGCATATCCAGCGTTAGACCATCTCATCTCGAATAGCCTGCCCCCATAAACGTTGCCACTGCAAATTAAACACTACCACTCATAATTTTTACAGGATCAAGGATATCTTTTAAATTGTTGCTTTACATCGCTTCTCGACAGTAACAGTTATCCATCCCCAGTCTCATGATCATATACTATTTACTTCTATATCATGGTGACTTATAGCACAAAGCAAATTGTAGCATGACTGAAGCACATCATTTCTGATAAGCATTCCTTTTGGTTATCCAGTTTTTCTCTTTCTCTTATTAAGGATCAATTCATTTCCCAAAAAGTTATGATGCATGGTTCTTAAACACCTGTTTCTCGTCTTTCTGTCCCACAACTCAAAAGATGCCTAAAACCACTAATGCATACATGGGCCAAATAGTAATCCTCTTCACTAAAGAAGTATGACCCTAATATGCTCACTCAACTGCTAAGAATAAAAACGATATACCAAACTATTTCTCCTCAACTGCAAATAATTGACATGCATACGTCTTCTAAACCACATATTGGATGCTTGGCCAAAAAAAAACCACATTTGATTTTGTTGTAGACAGAAACAAGCCAAATGTCACAGCGAAGATGAGGTGATTAAACCCCCAAGCTAGTCCTGAAAACAAGATATGATACCTGACCATTATATGACCCTTTTCATTTAAAACACTCGTATGTTGTTCAAGGCATGTTCACAAGAATGTTGTTCAAGGCATAGATGATAATTAACATGCCAAAGGAACTTTTCTTTTTGGCCAAAATTAACATTAGCATAATCAAAACCATTTAGCTATTAAAACAAAAGACCGCTTTAGCCAAACAGATCCATCCAAAGTAATGTGTCAAACAAAGAACAAATCCTACACAATTCTTCCTGACAAAAGTGTCCCAACGGAACAGTAACGGAACAGTTTGAATTATGTAGTATATATACATCTCTGAAAGATGAGACATGTCCGAGATCCTATGAGAAACTGCAGCAACAGATCAAGCAAAACATAAGCACTCACTTTCCATTCACATTATACAAAGAACTGGAGAAAACTAATGGTTCCAATGATAGGAAGCTAGTTAATTTTCCTAAATTCACGTCAATCAATTAATTTAAGCGTCACCCAAAATAGATATTTGTTCAAATAGGTCCACAATTTCCCAAAAAAAAAAAAAAGAGCGGAGTTCTCAATCTCAATAAGAAATTCATTACAGGAAAAAACAAAGAAGAAAAAAAAAAGAGTAGATCTTTACCCTAGAAATTGAAGGTCTTGATTCAATCTGACCATCCTTGCTCAAAAGCACGATGAAGACCAACACCACAATCCCGCACATTGTCCACCACACCACATTGGAAAGCCTCCTCCGCACTGGCCTCCTAAAATCTACTCCTCTGCGCCTCATCATTCACAACTCTTACAGCTCCCGTCTGGTTCCAGGGACAACAACTCCCCCTACAAACCACTACTTTTCCCAGGATATTTTATGATCTTCCCTTGCAGTAATTGTCTGAGATATAATTAATTCAATTAAGAAAAAAAAAAGGTTTTGGGTAATGAAAAGAAAAAACTAAAAATGGGAAATGAAAGAGTAAGAGTTGTTTGTTTTTATGTGGATTTAAGTGAAAGGAAACCGTTGGGCAGTCCAGCAGAGGATTGTATTGTATCTCAAGAGTTTATTGTTTGTCTAAGATTTTGTGTTTGTTTTGTGTAATAAAGTGAAGGTCATTGTAGCTGGTCGTTTTCCAAAACGGTGGCTCTGATCCTGCCATGTCAGCGTTGGCTGCCATCTCTGATTGATGCTCATACGCTTATAAGCCTCCGGTTCTTCACTTTTCATTTTTCCTGGAATATGCCTTTCCTTTTTCCTGCTTTTCACAGAAAAAAAAAAAAAAAAAGAGCTGTAATAAATCTGGAATATACTTTTAAATTACCAGGAAATAGTCCCTAAATTTAATTGTTGAAAGTCCTTTTAAAAATAAAAATTAATTGTTGACAAATCATTAGGAGATTTTAGCTCTTTTTTTTCTTTTACAATAACATAAAATATTTGAAAAAGGACTGCTTTGATTCGAACTTAAATCTTATGTTATAGAGCCGAGAAAATTACTAAAAAAATTTAAATTTAAATTCAATCAAATTTGATTTGTTAGAAAAAAAATTAAAGTTTAAAATTTAAAAAATTTCAAAGCAATTGTAAGTGCTCTATTTATTTGATAATGTTTAGAATGAATGATGACCAACTTATAATATTCATAATGGATCAAGATTTGGGGTTTGATTTTCCAATAAGCCATAAAATAAACGTATATAATGTTTATTGATTAATGGCGTCCAATTGTATGCTTCTATTTATGGAGGTATTCAAACAAGAGAATGGAAATCAAGGGGGAGAATCATTAAACAGGAGAAGAAAATCAACCTGACTTCAATTATTTTAGGTGAGGAGTCACATTCAACTCTACTATCCATAATTGTACATTTCAGACTAGTAAAATCAAAATCAAAAGCACATGATTTCCATATGCAATAAATTAGCGGCCATGTATCACACCTTAACATTGATTTTTTTTTTTTTTGTCTGAACAAACCAACACCCATCATTCAATACCTGCAACAAGACAGAGATGTTGCACCGACCTCATTTTCTCTTCGGGGAAACTATTAGCCATCTAAAGCACGTAAAATCTTAAGGACAACTCCATGATGTTGATATACCAGTCGAATTTATTGTTTTTGTAATGGCTAAACAAAGGATTATAGAGCACATAGTACCACATATAATCTGCTCATTTAAGGTCAAAAAATGTACAGAGTTTATTCCATCTGCATTCATAGTCCGTAAGTTTCACTGAAAAAAAAAAAAAAAAAACTTGTTTCTAATACAACATTTTTACCAACAAGAACGTAGAAAGAAAAATGTAGAATCAAACTCCTATGTTTTAATCCTCTAGTACTCTTCAAATAGCCTGAGCAGTTGTTGCTTTCTTGCTATTAGAAATCTGGAAACATAACTCTTAGAATGGCCTCTGAAAACTTCCTATATTAAACAGAGTATGTATATATGCAGCATTACTAACAAAAGGGATGTGAGCATACTTGCCACCAAGAGCAGACCTAACACATTCCAACAAGAGGAAGATGTAGCAGAATCCAATGCCAGCCCAAAAGTGCATCCCAAACCTGCCATTCTAGTGTATGAGTGGGAAAAAATTGCTCGTATACCATATTAGCTGCAAAGCAGTTTCCAATAACATGCCCATCATTAGATGGAACCTAATGAAGTGAGGCCAATCTTTGTTCTTGATAATTCCAATATATACAAAGTAACAATATATCATTGAGAACCATGGAGGTAACCTCTTTATGGCTCCTGGGACAAAATAAACCAAGTTTTCGAAAATCTCATAATTGTTCTAGGTAGGGCTGGATAAAATATCCTGCATCAGAAATCTGCAAAGCTATTAAATATGGAACACATGCCAAAGTCCTCCACCACCATTCTGGCTTCTCAGTTCTCACAGCATAGCTATTTTTGAATATATCATCCTTATTTGCTCGTGGTGAAAAATGGCATCTCTGCAGTCTCGGTAATGCATGATTTTTATACAACAAGTCATCTGCATCTTCACCTTTAAATTGTGATGATAAGGCAGTAAGGTGGTTATACTGTGTGCCTGCCAATGGATTATAAATTATTAAGATATAAATTAAAAAAAAAAAAAACCTACAACTCCAGCATCATTTTTATGTAAATGGCTTTCAAAACGTTTTAAAGCAATGACCTTTTATGGAGGAAAAAGAAAAAGGAGGAAGAGAGAAAATATGATAAAACTTCATAAATAATGCTCAATGCTTAATCTCAAGTAATAAAGGATGCATCATTTTATTGGCCCTAGAAATATAATTCAAATGAAAATTCTGAGGAGCTTTGAGTGTTAACAAAATGTTGATGAAGCGACAGCCAAAATTGCTGGTAGACCAGAGTTCTCCCTGACAATATGTCAAGATGTTTTCTGAAATAAGCAGATTATTCATGTATCTCAATGATATAGCAACCTAGCAGACACAGAACACCCACTAATTTTTTTTTTTTAAAAAGAAAGGAGAAAGTAGTAAGAAGAAGAGCAATGGATTCAGAGAGTAAATCTCATTTGTTCTCCACAAAATATATTATTCAACAGCAAAAGATTAGTTTCATAAGTAGTTTCTTTTTCCTTTACCACAGCAGCAAAAACAACATTGATCAAATTTTCAGTAATCAAAACTTCATTAAAAATGAAATTTTCAAATAAAGAACTTTATGCAAATTTGCATACTTGTAGAAGAAAAGAAACCGTGTGCACCAATGTTGCTTGACAACATAAGACTAGACCGCAAACTTGAGTTGCATGCAACAACTGGGGGCTTAAATCCCAGGTGGATACCTTTGCATCGGTCTAAAATTAAATCCTTAGACCTGGTTAAATGCAAATGTTACCAGGGCAACACATAATTCAACATAAAGAAGGCAAATAAGAAACAAATATATTTGAATGGTCTAACTGATTAAATAACCAAAGCCTTCCAATTTTAGCAATTATTCCCCATAAATTAGAACAGGGGATAGAATTATAATGGCCAAATGCAGGCGCAAGAATATATCCCATCACAGTATCATAATTAACAATGAACAACTCATTCAAATCTCAATGTGAAAATTGAGTTTTTTACCTTTACAAACTACTTCAAAGGGGGAAAAAGTTGACATTAGAAAGCTTAAAAACTATTTGCACCAAGTTAGGTAAAGAAATCGTAACTATCAGCGAAGGACCCTGATCAAGTATTAATGGTCTAGATTGGACTTAAGCTGTTTAATAAGAGTCATTAGAAAAATAAAAGCCTCAGGAAATCACATAGATGAGAGATGTAAATTTTTGCAGGAAAAGTATTTAGGAGAAGGGCAATGCACTAGGTTGGTTGTTTACTTTGTAGAACAATTCTGAGTCATTGGTTACTAATGTTGAAATAAATATGCATTTTCAATCCTCAAAAAAGACCCAAGAACATAGAAAAGAAAAAGATATCCGGACTCCTTTCGTCTGTGAAGACAGAGAGAAATAAAACAAAACCAAATCAAAAAGAAAAGAAACAAAAAGCATGCCCAAAACCCTAAAAAAACGGAACCAATATTATATATGATCTTGTCGATTAATTGCTGAACCACGAAAATCTTTTATCAACCGCTAAATGAGAAGCTGTGATCCCGTTGATGACAAAAGGACCCTAGTAAATAATATTGAATTTAAAAAAAGAAGGAAAATGAAAAAGAGAGTACCTTAGAGCAGCAACGGATGAGAATAAGGCGGGAGCCAGAAGAGGGGAAGGTTTGGCGAGTTTGGGACAGCTCGGGGCAGAGACAATATAGCTGTTGGGGGAGCCATCTTTGGGAGTCTTCACTCTAGGTAGGGCGACCGCACTGACGAAAAAGGTCTTGGGTATGAAATGGACACAGAGATGCAGAAATAATATATCCCAATAAATTCATGCTAATCAATAATTTAAAATGTAAAAAAAATAAAATACAGAGTTATACGAAAAATCCTTCATTATAAAGGGATTATCTGAAAAAATTTTACTATCAAATAATAGATATATAAAAATTTTTTAATTAAAATTAGAGTTAATCAACAATTAGAGATACAATTGAAAAATTTTATCAAATAAATGACTTAATAAATATATTTTGAATTTATTTCTAAAGAGTTTAAAACTCAATTTTCACCGTTCAAAATATAGAACATTGAATCGTGAACCTACTAATAAATTTCAGTTCAATCGACCATGTATCGAGTTCCATTCAATTGGCACTTATATTTTTTCCCTTTTCTTTCTTTTTTTTTTTTACATTTTTTTTTCGTGCTAAAACTAGCCCCTACGTTTATTATATAAGGCTCTTTGTTTCGGTTAAAAGACAAAGGCTTTAGGTCTTTTAATTGGCTAAAACAATAAGGCTGGATCTCACGTTCCTAATAATTTTCTCCTCCAACTCCATTAGGAGGAAATTCATCACTATACTTACTTTAGCCAATGAATTCATTTAAACCAAGTTATTGCAAAATTTAAGTTTTTCTTTAGGAAATGTCTTTTTCAATATATCTGCTACATTCTCATCAGTATGAACTTTTTTTAACTACATCTACTGCTCTTTAATCACTGAATATAGCTAGTGATATCTAACATTAATGTACTTCATTTTAACATGATACAAGATATTTTTACTCAAATTTAAAGCACTCTGATTATTACAAAATACTACATACTCTTTCTGATTCAATCCCAATTCAAAAAAAAAATATTTCATCCAAAGCATTTCTTTACATACATCAGTTGCTGTAATATATTCAGCCTCTGTAGTTAACAAGACAACATACTTTTGCAACTTAAACAACCAAGACATAGCTTTTTTTGCAAAAGTGAACAAATACCCCAAAGTAAATTTTTTACCATTAAGATCACCTACCATGTTGGCATCAATAAACCTTTCAAGAATTGGTTGTATAATTCCATAACTCTAACATATTTTTTAAGTGCCCTTCAAATATCTAAAAATTCATTTTACTACTTTTCAGTGAATCTTTTTTAAATTAAAAGAAGTATGCCCACTATACTAACTGCATGAGCAATATTAGGTTGTGTGTAAATCATAAGATACATAAAAGAATCGACTACAAAAGAATAAGAAATACTAGACATAGCTAGTTGCTTTTCTTTTATCATTGGACAAGATTTCTTACTCAAATGAAAATAATTGACAAATGGACTGCTAACTGATTTAATATGTTGCATATTAAGCACCCGTTCAACATGATTTTCTTGTGACAATCATAACTTTTCAGCCTTTCTATTCCGGATAATATCTATACCAAGAAGCTATTTTACTGGACCTAAATTTTTTATATAACAATACTTAGATAGTTGTTCTTTTAACTTGTGAACCAAACCAGCATCTTGTCCCATAATCAACATATCATCAATACGTAATAAAGAATAATAAAGTTACCATTTGAGAATTTTTTGACATATACACAAGGATCTGCTATTGTTCTTTTATAATTGTGATTTACCATAAAAGAATTAAATTTTTTATACCATTGTCATAGAGCTTATTTTAAGTCATACAAGCTTTTTTTTTTTTTTTTAGTTTGTAAAACTAAGTGTTATTTCATTTTCACTTTAAAAATCTCAAGTTTATCCATATAAATTTTCTCGTACAAGTCACTATGCAAGAATGTAGTCTTAACATTAAGTTGTTCAAGCTCAAGATTTAAACTAACTATTAATCCCAGTATTACTTGAATAAAACTCATATTTATAATTGGAGAAAAGATCTCATCAAAATCGATATCAAATTTTTGAGAAAAATCTTTCACTACTGATTGAGCTTTGTATCTCACTAGTTTATCACCATTATTTTTAGCTTGAGTCTTCGTTTATTCTTTATTGATCTTTTCCTTTTTAGAAGTTTAACATGATCATATGTGTCATTTTTTCACAATAACTTTATTTTTTCTTTCATTGCTTTTAACCAATGTTCTTTATCTAGAATAGTCTGCTTAGAAGCTCTCTAGCTCCCTCTCACTAGGTAACTAAAATAAAATTTGAACTTGAATACCTAATGAATGATTGATGCTCTCTAGTAGATCTCTTAGGCTGAAACTCTATATTACCTGATGTCAAAAGTAACTCCCTCTGCTTAACACTTTTGGGTGAGAAGATTGCTCTCCTTACTCAAAACTAATTGCATCTGGCTCATAACTAACTGTCACTAACCTATTTGTATCCTCAAGTTCTATCTCTTGCACATTTTTACCATCTCTGGCTCTTCTCGGTGAAACTCTTATCAGTGTTAAAGCATCATATTCAATAATAACTTGTGTAGCCTTCTCATTTTTCTTAAAATCTACTATGGTTTCTTTTTCATGAAAAATCACTCTCTGCTTCTAACTATTTTTTTCTTCACTGGATCTTATACCCCATAGTCAAATTTCTCATTACCATATCTGATAAACACACACTATATGGTTTTAATGTCAAGCTTTAACCTTTACTCTCTTGGTACATGCATGAATATTTTACATCCAAAAATTTCAAGTGAAAATATGAAGTATCTTTTTGGTCCACACTTTTTCTGAAATGTCAAAGCCCAAATGAACTAATAGTGTTTTATTAAGTAAATAATAGGTTATGTTGACTGCTTCACCCTAGAATGACTTTGATAATTTTGTTTCTTTAGCATACATCTGACTTTTTTCATAATGGTGCAGTTTATCCTTTCAGCTACACTATTATGTTGTGGTATTCCAAGTTCTGTCATCTTATGCTTTAAATAGTATTTTTTAAAGTCTTTGGATGTGTATTCGCCACTATTATTAGTTCGAATATATTTCAAAAGCAATCCTATTATATTTTCCACCATGACATGTAATTTTTGAAATTACTGCAGTACCTGACTTTTGTTTTTCAACATATACACTTAAGTTTTATGTGAAGCATCATCAATAAAAGTAATAAAATAGCTATTACTACTCAATGACTCAGCCTCAATAAGAGCACATACATTGTAATGAATCAATTTCAATATATATTTTTTAGAATGCTTACAAAAAGAAACTCTACAATCTTTACTATGCAAACAATGATCATATGAATTGAAAAACATACCTTTAGTCAAGAAAATAAGAAACCGGCTTACTAAAACCTATAACTCCTTCTCGTTCATATGTGCTAGCCTTTTACACCACAAATTTACTGAAGCATCATCCTCAACAACATTTATCTGGTTGTCATTCAATTGTATCTATGTTTTGTACATTATGCAGCATAGTTTTCTTCTTACAATTACCATAAATCTTTTGAGAAGTTTTCAGTGTTCATTATTTTATCGACTCTCATATCTTTTCTTATAAAGGATATTAATAATAAGTAAGTTAATTATCATATTTAGAATGTGTTTGACATCCCTCAAAGTCAATATATAACCCATATTAGTTTGTATAATAATATCATCAATTCTAATAATTTGTGACACATTTTTATTTTTTATTTTGGTGCAACCAAAGTTTTATACTTTATAAGTTGTAAACAACTCAATCTTAGGAACACAATGATATGCCTCTTCTGTGTCAACTATCCACTCAATGTCGAGATCACCAATATGATATACAAATCATAGTAATTGAATTACTATTTCACTATTGCGATATAGCAATCATTTGAACTTTTACCTTTCTCATTTTTTCACTTTTGTTTCAAGATTTTACAGTTTTGCTTTATATGACTTGGTTTACCACAATAGTAACACTTGATTTTATTTTTGAACTTAGATATATGTTTTGACTTACTATGACTTTTTGTGTTTTGACCTTTATCGATGTTTCTAACCTTGTTCTCTATGATAAGAGCTCGATTCCCAGAGTCTGAATCTTTTTACCTTACTTCTTCATTAAGCATACTATCCTTTACCATCTCTAATGTCCCATTGTAGTAAGGAGTTGAATTAAAATAGTCACAATTGTAGTATTTCAATTGTTTGATAATGAACCTAAAAAAATAATGCTTTTATTTCATCATCCATTTTAAGCTCCATAATAGTTATTAGATTGAATATATCTTGAAAATCACTCAAGTGCTCTATAATCAATTGCCCATCCCTGTATTGTAAAATTGTAAACTTTTTAACAAGTGTAACTTTATTTATGCTTGTTTTTCTCTCACACGATGCTGCTAATTTTTTTCAAATGGTATGGGCATCTGTCTCTTGTACTACATGATGGAACATAATGATATCAACCCATTTTCTAATTGTGCCAATCTCTTTCTACCTAACTTCTTCAAGTTTTCATCTTTTATATCTACTAGTTTAACCTAATCATTCAATATTGGCTCATACAAGTCTTTGTAGTATAAATGATCCTTCATCATTGGCTTTTCAATTTGAATAATTTGATGCTATCAATTTTATTATAAAATCGTATCATCTTTCACGATCTTAAAGAGAATTTACTTTTATCCTAGGTTGCTATTGTATTGATATCTAAAAAATAATCAGTGTTCTGATATTACTTGTTGGGTCTAAAACGACAAACACAATAATGTAAAAATAATATATCGCAATAAATCTACAATAAATAGACAAGAATCGATAATCCAAAATGCAAGAAAATAAAGCACACAAAGATTTATATGAATAACCCTCCAGTATAGAAGAAAAAAATTATATACCATTAAAAAAAACTCCACTATCAAATAATAGATATAAAAATTTTTTTTCAAGTGTAGAGAGACAATTAAAGAAATTTCACTAAATAAGTAACTCAACAAATACATCTTGAATTTATTTCTAGAGAGTTTTAAACTCAATTTTTATTGTTTAGAATGTAAAACACTGAATCATGAATATGTTAACAAAATTTTAGCTCAATCGGATCATTGATCCACTTTTGTTCAATTGACAGCTCTTCATTCATTCTTTTTTTTTTTTTTGGTTCTTTCTTTCTTCTTTTCAACATTTTCTTTTTCTTATGCCAAAACCAACTCGGCTCTTTTTTTTTTTATTCAAAAACAAAGGTTTTGGGCTTTTTAATTGGCTAAAACAATGGGCCGACTCACGTTCTTAACAAAAGAATGTTGCTTTTCATGTAAGAAACATAGAATTTATAATTAGGGCCTAGCAGATGCCAAAGTTTCAGAGCTTGTCATTTATGTTGAGAGAAATAACGTTTGCTTATGGGTTGTTCTAGAACTTATGGTGTAGGCATAAAACTATAGTATATTACTTAATGATAGGTTTTTAAATTCTATGTGGGACCAAAGGTGATTTTAGAAGAGGGCTGCCCATTTCAATGAAATTAACAAAATGGAAAGGTTCACTGGCTCAAGTTCACGGTTTAAAACAAGAGGCCCAAGAAAAGTAAGGAGAAAGGTTTTTGCTAGACACGGGCCTGTAAAACCCAAAAAGCTAAAGTTACAAAAAAAAAAGGAAACATTTGCAAAAACCTAAATTCCATTCCTTTGGTAATGACAAAACCTCTCTAAACCCAAATCACTCACTCACCATCCTATAGTTTCAATAACAATCCCCACAACTACTTTTAATTTCTCACTCAACATTTCTCTCTTTCCTCTCAAAACTACTTTAATTTCTCGTCACATAGTCCTATCCGTCACCAAACCTTTTTTTTTCATTTCTTTTAAAAGTCTAAGCTTTCAACCCCAAGCCAACCTTAAATTATCATACTCTTTCCAAGAAATGTTAAGGGAAAATTCGAGTTTTGTGTTAACGCTAAAAATAGAGGAGGAGAATATGATGGCATTGATGAAGTAGACAAATTGCCAACAAGAGAGAGTACAATGCCTGAGAGGTTTAGATACTTGACCAAAAAAGCTCCTAATCTTTTTCTTAGATGGCCTTTATTTATCGGTGAGCTTCTTTAATTGTCCTACTGAGTTTAATATTGGATATTTCACAATTTATATCTCTGTTAACAATGTAATTAGAGAAAATTTCATTAAAACAATTATTAAAAAACATAAGTATATAACTATCTATTTATATCAGTATCAGATTCTTGTTACATCATGATTTTCCTAAATAAGCTAACGGTGCTTTTTTAGTGTTTTATTTTTGGCCAAATGCTTGCTTAGATTATATTATTATCTATTCTTAAAAGGAAATTTATGGTGTTTGTTATCACCTATTGTTTCCTTTTTAAAGTTTCAACTATGAAACTCAATATTTTGTGTCTTGAATAGACAAAATGATTGATATATTCATAGAAAGTTAGAGTAAGAATTGGAATAGATTATCAATTGAAAGAAGACTTGTAAGCCATGCATATCTTACATGTGTAATGAGTAAAATATTGGTTGATAACTCTGTTAACTACCATATTAATGAGAATGAGATGATTGTATTCTATCTATGGATTTAAATAGAGGCGTAATAACGGTATCGTGGTCGCTATTTAGCGAAATTGACACTTACTACCATTGTTATTCAATCGATATTAAGTGTGAAGAAAATTTACATCTCTAACGATTCATTACGTTTGCAAAAAAAAAGGCCATAGTGGCAATAATGGGACATAATTGGCGTTATTTCCATTTTTTTTTCATAATTTAATACAAGAAGAATTTTCTTGTCATCATCAAGCATTAAAATTTCAATAGAAATTAACGAAATAAAGCCCTAAACATAGAAAAGAAATCCTAGATTTACAATGACTCAGTAAAAAAAAGGCTAATTAAAAATCAAGAAAAATTTATAAAAATCAAGTAATAATAAAACATTTTAAAATTACATTTTCTTCCTTATTTAAATGTTTGTAAATTTGTGTTGTATAGGACTTAAAAAAACTTAGATCTTATAGAGATTTTGCTTGAAACTTTAAAATTTAAAAAACCCATTTATGAGCACTCTGTAGGCGTGGGTTTAGGTCTATGCTAGTTGGATTGAAGAAGAATTCGGATGAATCATGGCATTGATTGGGTGGAAAGTTGGATAAAGGTGGAAGCTTAGAGGTTGGTTGGCTGTCATGGCTGGTGGATGGTTTGTGGGAATTGTAGAAAGTAAGGGTTGAGAAAAAATTGAAAGAAGTTTGGGTCAAAAGATGATGATGCAAGAGAATTTTGCATTTTTAATTGAAAGAAATATTTGAGTGTAGTGGGGAGTTTGGTAGGCATTAAGTTTGGTCAATGCTTGACCAAACAAAAATTAGTTTTCTCTTTTTTTTTTTTTTAATTTAGGGGCAAAATTTTTTGGAGAAATAATTGGTTAAAATTGAAAAGTTTTAAGAATTAATTTTGACTTAGATTGAGAAATTTTAGATAAAAGAGTTTAATGTAAATTTGAAACGCATATTATATTATAATTTAGATGAAAAAAATAAAATATTAAATGATTAATATATTAATTTGATTTTTGATTTCTATTTTTATTTGGATTTTATTAATGATTTTATTGTTTTAATATTTGTATGTTGTTAATTTTCTAAATGTGAATATTTTACTATAATATTAAAAAATTGTAAATAATTTTTTTATATAAATAAAATAACATAAAGTGTCATTAATTACTTTAAAAATCATGAAAAAGAAATTTTTATGATTATAATTGTAATTACTATGTTTTATAATAAGTTGTGCAAATTTGAAAAAAAATTCACAACCATAATGAATGTAATGACCGCGATGATATTCGTTATATCTGCAACCACGATAAATGTAATACGATCGAAAACGTGTCTACGACCGTAATTTAAATCCCTTATTCTATCCTAATAAGGTTTAGGATGTTGTTAAAGGCTGTAATGTAATTACTACCGTTGGGTGACCATTACTTCATTTTGAAGAAAGGAAAACATGTTTTTTTTGTGAAGAGAATTAATGAGGAAGTGGCTGATAATTGATAGTTTCATCTCTAATGGACTCTTTAGAAGTGAAGTCATTTTTCTTTTTTCTTTTTTTTGGGGGGTGGGGGGGGGGGTGGGGTGGGTGGCTGGTTTTGTTCAAAGAAGGCTACTAATAATTAAGTTTATTTCAAGCCAGTCTAATCCAAGGATTATAAGCAAAAGTTTAGAATAATGCTAACTAATTCACCTTCTCTTTGAACTATGTGTGGCACTGTCATTCCTTCTCTATGCATGGAGGGCAGTTTTGTTAGAGCTTTCTAATTGGAGAAAGGCTGCTTGTGGTTTTGTTGGTTTTGTGGGATACCTCTTCAAACTTGCACTTGCCCTTATTTTCCATTTCAAAGGAGATCCAATCACTTCGATGATCAGATGTATAGAAACTGTGATCTACAGTATTAGAGCTTTCTACTCTGGGATTGTGGCATATGCCCCTGTTCGTGAACTGACAGTGATCGTTGTGCTTGCATGAGCAATTCTTGCCATTGCTGAGGCTACTGTTCCAAACTCCATAAGCAGTCAACCATATACGCTCACAATATCTGGTCTAATTGGCTATGCAGCTGTGACTGGCTACATTTCCGAGCCACTCTACTGGACTTTTCTATTGGGGTATATGGTTTCTCACGCTTAATTAAAAACCGCGATGATGTGACATCGGCACTGCCTGTTGCAGCTGTAATGGCTGCCATTGGGGAGCCTTGGGTTAGGATGCTGGTGATAACTTCTTATCTAGCTCTACCTATCTTTCACCATTCAAAGAAGCTTTCAGAAGTAAAGAAGCAAACAGAAGGTGTAGCCATAAAGAAGCAGCTCCCAATGCCATTATTAGGTGCTGCCTTGACCATTGGAATCCATCTTGCTGCTAAGTGGGCTGGTTATCGAAATTTGACATGGATGATAGTATGAAGGCAAAGAGTCTTTTTCACACATTGTTTGTAACGGCAATGTTCTTTTGTCTGTTTTTTAATGGCTAATGTAGTATCATGTATCTTTTGCGAAATAATTTTGTAGCCTGTTAACTTGTTTTCATGTTTGGGTAGAGTACCTTATTTCCCCCCGTGTTTCTGTTTTGCTGTGTGTTTGTTATGACGAATAGGACTAGAAAGTACTAGGAATGGCATCATTATTCCAATTTGATAATGACAAGAATATCATGGGAAACTATGAGACGGTATTAATGATTCAAGTGGGAAGGATTTCGCCCCTGCCTGTTAGTGATGGTGTAGGAAGAAAATGGTTCCCGACAAGAAGAAAAAGTATGGGGAGAAATAAAAGTAGTAAAAATATAAAAATGAAATGTAGACAACAAATCAGCAATAGGTCAATAGCTAACCAAGATGATTTCTAGCTGGGCTGAAGGTCCAAAATAGAAGAAGTTGTGGGTCAAAAAGTTTAGACCATTGAAGAACAAAAACATAGCCTAACTTGACCCACTCAGATCGGAGCCCAAACCAAGTATCCAAATTAGGGTTTCAACTTTGCGTCTTTCGGCGAATGAAAAATCGTATCTAGGTTTAAAAGGAGCTCCATGTAAACGATTCAAGATCGCCTCTCCTCTTCACCGTCTTAGAACCTCCAGCCCCAGAGGTATATCCTCAGCTTCCTTGTTTATCTATTGTTGTACAGGAGTAATTCTTATAGTAAGTCATAAACAGTCGATTCTTTGTATGCAAAGCTTCATCTCTGGACGAACTCTCCCTGGCTTATCTGAATCTCTACCTTTGAAGAGCAAAGCCCCAATGTTGGCGCTAAACCCATGCCGTTTTACGTGTTGCGGAATAGCCCTTTCTTTTCTACTTGCTTTTGGTCTCAAATCGGCGGCTATACTCGGTCTTTTCAGTTTCTCAGTTGTTATTTCTTTTGGATTTTGCCTCTCTACACCTTTAGCTTGTTTTCAAAAAACTAATACTAAATCATTGGAAACTAGGCTAGTCATCGACGCGTATACTTGATCTGGCGGTGTTAAATGTGGCGGCATTTCTTTTCATGATTTCGCCTCTAAAAACATCCGCCATAGTTTCTGTATTGCCTTATTATATTTGTGCAAAAAGTGTTAGCAGTGATTACGTTTATTTTATCCGCGCTTCTGAGAGCAATCCATGAAGCATATAAAACGATAAAATGGTTGAATTTCTTGATATGAGCCAACTTTCTTTATAGGAAAATTCTTTATTTTTTGGATTTAATTATGTAATTGGCTATGAGGATTATTATACAGCTTTTAATGCCAGTTCTGCTTCAGAAAATTCTTGATTGATAAGCTGTTTTATTTTCTGAGCTTCTCTCATTTTCAAACAAACTTTAACTAGTTTTTTTTTTTTCTTTTTAAAAATAAATTTGGAAAATTGCTTAATACCTAACTTAATTAAAGTAGTCTATGATGATTTATCCGTTGTATGAGATCTAGATTTCCTCAAGCCCTGTTTTCAGGGAGAACCTACTTGGGAAGCTACATTATTCATGAAATTACTGGATTTTACTGAGACTTTATTTTAGATCTTTTTATGAAAAGTGTTTTCTTTTCTATTACTTGAAGTGTTGTATTTACAGTGTGTGTGTATAGCTTTTGTGTGCCAATGATAACTTAATCCACTTTAGATGAGGTGCAGTGGAGTCAAGACACTGTTTAACAGGGAGAACCTGCTTGGTAAAAGCTGCAATTCAATGATATTAATGGATTCGACTGAGGCCGTATCTTGTTTACGAAATACTTGGCTAGTCGGTTATTTAGTTTTAAATTGAGTTCAATTATACTCTAAATCTTTTACTAATTTCGGTTTAGAGTCTGAAAAACTCAAATAGTTTTGTGTTGTCATCAGCTTCTTCTCATGCATTTTTTTACGAGATTGGAGTTAAATAACAGCACTAAAATTTTCTTTTGTAAATTTTGCAGGAATTGCCTGGATTCTTCGGTTTCAATGATAATCCCCACAATTGCTTCTAATTTCTCACTCAACCCTTCTCTCTTTCCTCTCAAAACTACTTCAATTTCTCGTCACACTGTCCTATCCCGTCACCAAATCCCTCTTTCATTTCCCTCAAAAGTCCAAGCTTTCAACCCCAAGCCGGCTCTCAAGTTTCCTACTCTTTCCGGGAAACGTTTGGGGCTTTCTCGCAAGGGAAAATCCGAGTTTTATGTTAATGCTGGAAATAGAGGAGAAGATGGCGGCGCTGATGAAGCAGACAGATTGGCAACAGGAGAGGGTACAATGCCTGAGAGGTTCAGATACTTGACCAAAGAAGTTCCTGGGCCTCCTCTTAGGTGGCCTTTATTTGTTGGTGAGCTTCTTCAACTGCCCTACTGAGTTTAATATTGGACATTTCACAATTTATATCTCTGTTAACAATGTAATTAGTGAAAATCCCATGAAAACCATTATTGGAAAACATAAGTATATAACGATCTATTTATATCAGTATTGGGTTCTTGTTACATCATGATTTTTCCAAAGAAGCTAACGGTGCTTTTTTAGTGTGTTTTTTTGGCCAAATGCCTGCTTAGATTATATTATTATCTATTCTTAAGAGGAAATTTATGGTGTTTGTCATCGCCTGTTGTTTCCTTGTAAAGTTTCAGCTATGGAACTCAACATTTTGTGTGTCTTGAATAGACAATAAGGACTGATATATTCATAGAAAGTTAGAGGAAGAACTGGAACAGATTTTCAATTGAAAGAAGACTTGTAAGCCATGCATATCTTACATTTGTAGTGAACAAAATATTGGCTGATAACTCTGTTAGCTACCATATTAATGGGAATGAGATGATTGTATTCTATCCTAACAAGCTTTAGGATGTTTTTAAAGGCTGATGTAATTACTACCATTGGGTGACCATTGCTTCATTTTTGAAGAAAGGAAAACATGTTTTTGTTGTGAAGAGAATTAATGAGGAAATGGCTGATAATTGATAGTTTCATCTCTAATGGACTCTTTAGAAGTTAAGAAGTGATCATTTTTCTTTCTTCCTTTTTCTTTTTTTTTTTTTCTTTTTGGGGGGTGGGGGGTTGGTTTCGTTCAAAGAAGGCTAATAATACTTAAGTTTATTTCAAGCCAGTCTAACCCAAGGATTATAAGCAAAAGTTTAGAATAATGCTAACTAATTCAACTTTCTTTGAACTATGTGTAGCACTGGCATTCCTTCTCTATGCATGGAGGGCAGTTTTGTTGGAGCTTTCTAATTGGAGAAAGGCTGCTTTTGGTGTTGTTCGTTTTGTGGGATACCTCTTGAAACTCGCACTTGCCCTTATTTTCCATTTCATAGGAGATCCAATCACTTCTATGATCAGATGTATAGAGACAGTGATCTACAGTATTAGAGCTTTCTACTCTGGGATTGTGGCATATGCCCCTGTTCGTGAACTGACAGTGATCGTTGTGCTTGCATCAGCAGTTCTTGCCATTGCTGAGGCTACTGTTCCAAACTCCATGAGCTGTCAACCATATATGCTCACATTATCTGGTCTAATTGGCTATGCAGCTGTGACTGGCTACATTTCTGAGCCACTCTACTGGACTCTTCTATTGGGGTTATATGGTTTCTCACGCATAATTAAAAAGCGTGATGATGTTACATCAGCACTACCTGTTGCAGCTGTAATGGCTGCCATTGGGGAGCCTTGGGTTAGGATGCTGGTGATAACTTCTTATCTAGCTATAGCTATCTTTCACCATTCAAAGAGGCTTTCAGAAGTAAAAGAGCAAACAGAAGGTGTAGCCATAAAGAAGCGGCTCCCAATGCCATTATTAGGTGCTGCCTTGACCATTGGAATCCATCTTGCTGCTAAGTGGGCTGGTTATCGGCATTTGACATGGATGATAGTATGAGAGCAAAGTCTTTTTCACACTGTTTGTTACGACAATGTTCTTTTGTCTGTTTTCTAATGGCCAATGTAGTATCATGTATATTTTGGGAAATAAATTTGTAGCCTGTTTAACTTATTTTCATGATTTTGGGTAGAGTACCTTATTTCCCCCTGTTTCTGTTTTGCTGTGTGTTATGACAAAATAGGACTATACAGTATCAGCAATGGCATCATTCCTCCAATTTGATAATGACAAGAATATCATAGGAAACCGTGAGGCGGTATTAATGATTCAAGTGGGAAAGATTCCGCCCCTGCCTGTTAGTGGTGGTGTAGGGAGAAAAAGGTTCCCGACAAGAAGAAAAAGTACGGGGAGAAATGAAAGTAGTGAAAAGTAAAAATGAAATGTAGACAACGAATCGGCAATAGCTTAATAGCAAAACCGAGATGACTTCTAGCTGGGCTGAAGGTACAAAGTAGAAGAAGTTGTGGGTCTAAAAGTTTAGACCATTGAAGAACAAAAACATAGCCTAACTTGACCCAGTCAGATTGGAGCCCAAACCAATTATCCAAACTAGGGTTTCAACTTTGTATCTTTCGGCGAAGGAAAAATTGTATCTAGGTTTAAAAGGAGCTCTATATAAACGATTCAAGATCGCCTCCCCTCTTCACTGTCTCATCATAGAACCTCCAGCCCCAAAGGTATATGTCCTCAGCTTCCTCGTTTATCTGTTGTTGTATAGGAGTAATTGTTATGGTAAGTCATAAACAGTTGAGTCTTTGTTTGCAAAGCTTCATCTCTGCACGAACTCTCCCGGGCTTATCTGAATCTCTACCTTTGAAGAACAAAGCCCCAATGTTGGTGCTAAACCCATGCCGTTTTACGTGTTGCGGAATAGCCCTTTATTTTCTACTGGCTCTTCTGTGTCAAATCGGCGGCTATACTCCATCTTTTCAGTTTCTCAGTTGTTATTTCTTTTGGTTTTTGCCTCTCTACACCTTTAGCTTGTTTTCAAAAAACTAATTCTAATTTATTGGAAACTAGGCTAGTCATCGACGCGTTTCCTTGATCTGGCGGTGTTAAATGTAGGGGCATTTCTTTTCATGATTTCGCCTCTAAAAACATCCGCCATAGTTTCTGTATATTCTTTATTTTTTTATTTTTGTGCAAAAAGTGTTGGCGGTGATTACGTTTATTTTATCCGCGCTTCTGAGAGTAATCCATGAAGCATATAAACGATAAAATGGTTGAATTTCTTGATATGAGCCAACTTTCTTCATAGGAAAATTCTTTATTTTTTGGATTTAATTATGTAGTTGGCTATGAGGATTAGTATACAGCTTTTAATGCCAGTTCTGCTTCAGAAAATTCTTGATTGATAAGCTGTTTTATTTTCTGAGCCTCTCTCATTTACAAACAAACTTTAACTAATTTCTTTTCTTTTTAAAACTAAATTTGGAAAACTGCATAAAACCTAACTTAATAAAAGTAGTCTATGATGATTTATCCGTCGAATGAGATGTAGATTTCCTCAAGCCCTGTTTTCAGGGAGAACCTACTTGGGGAGCTACATCATTCATGAAATTACTGGATTTTACTGAGACTTTATTTTAGATCTTTTTATGAAAAGTGTTTTCTTTTCTATTAACTTGAAGTGTGTTGTATTTACAGTGTTTGTGTGTGTGTGTGTCTCTCTCTCTCTCTCTATATATATATATATAATTTTTGTGTGCCAATGATGATATAATCCACTTTAGATGAGGTGCAGTGGAGTCAAGACCCTGTTTAACAGGGAGAACCTGCTTGGTATAAGCTGCAATTCCTTGATATTAATGGATTCGACTGAGGCCATATCTTGTTTAAGAAATACTTGGCTAGTTGGTGTGATTTATATAGTATTAAATTGAGTTCAACTATACTCTAAATCTTTTACTAATTTTGGTTTAGAGTCTGAAAAACTCAAATAGTTTTGTGTTGTCATCAGCTTCTTCTCATGCATTTTTTACGAGATTGGAGTTAAATAACAGCACTAAATCTTTCTTTTGTAAATTTTGCAGGTATGGCTTGTTGTACTTCAAATTGGGTATATTGTAGTCTATTGACAAAGATTGTAAGATTTGATGATATGTATTTCCGAGAGGAAGTTGTATTCAAACAATGTAGCAATGAAATGCAAGTTTCCTTTGTTTCATCAGATTTGTGTTGATTTCTTTAACTTTATACCTGGATTGACTAACCGACTGGGCTAGTTTCAGATGAAACCGAGATTAACTGTTTAAATGTCCATGTTGGGTTTAACAGCTACATTCATGATTTTTGGACAAAATCTTGTAATTGGAAGTTTTTATTTCAAAAAACTGAAAAAGTGCTCCAAGAAAAAACAATTAATTGTTCTTAGTAATTAGCATACGAGTTTTCAAAACAAAAAAACGAGGTCTAACATCTTCAGCGACTTCTTCAAACACCTCGTTTGGAGACTAACAAAATCTTGTTTCACTCTATCATGGTTTAATTGCAGTTGGTTTTTATTCATCTGCTACCGCGTATAACATCACTTCCTTGCCTTGCGCCTATTTTTAGCGGACAGAATATCAAGTTCAATCTTTGAAGATGTTCATGTTGGTTGGGAACAGCAGCTGAAGGATCGGAGAGAGGGTTCCTAATTTCCCAGGTGGATCTCAAGCCTTTGGAACTATCTGAGCGTCCACAAGGAACAAAAGGCTAATATTTGGTGGGAAATGGGATCTGCCTACACCCATTGCTTCGGGTTTTTTTCAATTTTATAAAGAACAAATCTGTTACATTCACATTCCACTCACTGAAGCATGAGTTCCTACTCTTCAAACCACCTGCGTTTACTGTCTTTAACAAAACAATTAACCTCTTACGTGAACCAAGGCTGCCATGTCGACGCCCTTTCTCTCTTCCACCGCATGCAAACCTCGCCTGCTCTCACTCTCGACCCTTTCGTCTTCCCTCTCCTTCTCAAATCCTGTACTGCCATCCACCGCCCTCAACTGGGCTCCTCAATTCACGCTCATGGCATCAAGTCATCTCTCCTCTCCAACCCATTTATCGCTTGCGCTCTCATTCACATGTACGGGAAATGCTTGTCCATCTCCTCAGCACGCAAATTGTTCGACGAAATCCCTCAACCAAATGTCGTTTCTTGGAATTCTATGATTTCTCTCTACACGCGCTCCGGGCGCATGGATGCAGCGTTGGATTTGTTTCAGTCTATGGATGTTGGGCCCAACGAGTCCACGTTTAATGTCATCATATCGGGATTGAGTGCTTTGGAAGATGGACCTTTTAAGGCCATTGGATTTTATAGAAGAATGCAGAAAGTAGGCTTGAGGCCCAATTTGATTACACTTCTTGCTTTGTTACCTGCTTGCGTTGGCGTAGCTGCATTGAGTTTGATTAAAGAAATTCATGGCTACGCGTTTAGGAGTAACATAGAACCTCACCCGCAGTTGACGAGTGGTTTAGTGGAAGCATACGGGCGATGTGGAAGTCTTGTTAATGCGCGAAATGCGTTCCAATGTATGAAAGAAAGAGATGTAGTTGCTTGGAGTAGTTTGATATCAGCTTACGCTTTACATGGTGAGGCAAGGGCTGCATTGGAAGTTTTTCAACAAATGGAGTCAGCAAAAGTGTGGCCTGATGACATTACTTTTCTTGGGGTATTAAAGGCCTGTAGCCATGCTGGACTAGCTGATGAGGCATCAGATTTTTTTGATAGAATGCGTAAGGACTATAAAATTGAAGCCAGTGCTGATCATTATTCATGTTTAGTTGACGCATTGAGTAGAGCAGGGAGATTGTACGAGGCTTATAAAGTTATAAATGAAATGCCTATGAAGCCAACGGCAAAGACTTGGGGAGCGTTACTTGGTGCTTGTAGAACTTATGGAGAAGTAGAGTTGGCTGAGATTGCTGGGAGAGCGTTGTTTGAGATAGAGCCATCTAATGCAGCCAATTATGTGTTGTTGGCTAGAATTTATGCTAGTGTAGGAAGATATGAGGAAGCTCAGAGGATGAGAACGGAAATGAAGGAGAGGGGAGTGAAGGTAGCACCTGGTAGCAGTTGGGTTGTGAATCAAGACTAAAGGAACTCTGGTTGATTTTCCTTTACATGCCATGCGATAAGAGGTGAAATGATCGTTTTTAATTGAGCCTAATTTGAAAATAGATTGATGTTACTTTGGCCCTTATGAGATTTTGACATGCTGGCTTGAAACTTGGAATGTAGTGAGTTTGGAGGTAGACAAGAGAGGTGTAGGTGCAGCTACCTTCATTTCTGCCGTGATTCAAGTCTTTGAGTATACTTATTTGGAGGTAGAAAAGGGTAGAGACTTAACACAAATAAAAGAGTATAGACTTAAAGTGAAAATTTTGCGTTAGTTTGAGAGCTTATGTTGTACTCATTATGCCTTTTTCAATTGACAAAAGACTTTGAGGTTTGAGCCATGCTTGTCTTACATGTCCTAGTAAGCTTTAGGATGAGTTTAGGATGTTGTTAAAGGCTGTAATTACTACCATTAATTCATGGCCTTCATTTGTTGAAGAAAGAAAAACATTTTCTTGTTGCAAAGAAAGTTATTGAACTTGTTTGGTTCAAAGGAAGCATCTAATAATTAACATTATATGAATTTTATTTCAAGCTAGTCTAAATCAAAGGATTGTAAGCAAAAGTTCAGAATATTGCTACCTAATTCACCTTCATTTTTTGATTAATGTGCAGCCCTAGATTTCCTTCCGCGTGCATGGAGGGTGGTTGTTGGATGTTTCTTGTTGGAGAAAGGCTGTATTGTGTATTCTTCATTTCGTGGGATTCCTCCTGAAACTTGCAGTCGCGCTTATCTTCCATTTCATTTGAGATCCAATCACTTCCTTAATCAGATGAATAGACTATGATCTACAGTATTAGAGCTTCCTACTGTGGGATTGTGGCATATGCTTCTGTTCAATAGCTGACTATGATCATTGTGCTTGCTTCAGCAGTTCTCCCAATCGTAGGCTATTGTTCCAAACTCTATAAACTGTCGACCATAGATGCTCGAAACATCTGGTCTAATTGGCTATGCTGCTCCGATTGGCTACATTTCCATGCCACTCTACTGGACTGTTCTATTGGGAATAATATGGATTCTCATGCTTAACTAAAAAGTGTGAGGATGACATCAGCACTGCCTGTTGTAGCTGTAATTGTTGCCATCTGGGAGCCTTGGGTTAGGATCCTGGTGCTTCCTTCTTCTCTAGCTCTAGCTATCTTTCGCCAAAGAAGCTTTCAGAAGTGCAGGAGCAAACGGATGGTGTAGCCATAGAGAGTCGGCTTGGCTCCCAATGCCATTATTAGGCACAACCTTGGCAATTGAAATCCATCTCGCTGCTAATTGGGCTGGTTACCAACATGTGACATGGATGATAGAATGAGGGCAAAGAATCTGTTTCAAACGTTGTTTGAAAAGACAGTGATCTTGTCTGTTTTCTAACGGCTAATCCGGTATTACTTTGTTCTTTGATCTACACCTTAACAGCCGTTATTATACAGATATTTTACCACAAATGGGAACAAGGAAGATCGTTAACTGCCAAGGTATATAGTTTCAGTATTTCCAACAAAAATAGCTTAAAATATAAAAATGTTAAAAGCTCATGTCTATAAATGTACAAGTGGAATTTTCACGCTTAGCTGCGGGATTTGAAAGCTAAAATTATATTGAACAGAACATTTTAATAACATAATAAGGTCACAATTAGATAGAAATATAAAATATTAAAAGGTTTTTTTTTTTTTTAAAGTATTAAAAGGTTTAAATTTTAAAGTAAGACGTATAAGTTCATGATTCGATAAAAATTCGAAGTACTGAAGGGTTTAAAAGTTTAAAGTTAAGATGTCTTCAACTTCATGTCTTAATAATTAAAAAGACTTAGAAAAAACATTTAATTCGACCATGGACTTGATTTAAGTATCATCTTCGCTTTTACTTGACCTTTCATGAAAATATAGGCGTATAAGCCTACGGAACAAAAAGCCAAAGCGAGTGAGGGTGATAATGAGCCACTCACGAAGAGAAGAAAGAAAAGGTTGCTGCCCAATCAAACAAATTCACTCAAATCTATAAAAACTAGAAACGTAGCATGAACTATTTTTCTATTATTATTTATCAATTTTTTATTATTCTAAATATTTATAATTAATTTAATACGTAATTCAATAAAAATATTATAATAATTTTAAAATAAGAATGCTATATGTGAATTTTCTAAGAAATAATCATAAAAAGCATTTTTATAATTATGATATGTGATGTTATAATAATTTTGATCAATTATAATAGGTAATGCATTTTTGTAAGTATGATAGAAAAGATATTATAGTAATTTTACAAATTAAGGTCGAAAGACCATCGTTATAATTTTAACTGATTTATGATAAGATGAGCATTTTTATAATTATGATAAAAGGATATTAAAATTATTTAGGATACCTATGAACTCTTAATCATAGAATCATAAGATCATTCTAATAATTTCAATGAGATTAGTAATTTAATATGTAGTTAATTTCATATTATGTTAAAATTTAATATATGTAATTTAATAAGAGTATTATAGCAATTTTGAAATAAAATTTCATATGTAATATTTTTATGAAATGATAATAAGAGTATTTTAGTAATTTAATATGTGATTAATTTTATATTATTATGTCAAAAATTAATACATAAATTAAAATATATATTATAGTAATTTTTAAATAAAATGATACATGTCAACGTTTTTGAAACAATCATAAGAATATTTTTGTAATTATGATAAATGAGTTTTATAATTATTTTGATCAATTTTTGTAGGAGAGTATTTTCATAATTATGATAAAAAGACATTATAATAATTTTGATCAATCATGATAATAAAAACATTCCTTTAATTATAATGTGAAGAACATTATAATAATTTTAACTAATTACGAAATAAAGAATATTTTCATAATTATATCATAAGATTACCATAATAATTCGTCATTTTTTTGGCGCAATCACTCATTTCAAATACTTAAAATGTTTTCTAGTTAGCAAAGGCAACATTATATAATATAATATATTTAAATAGACAATTTGATAGATCTAATATAATCTTTTTCAAACTTATAATATTCAAAATTCAAGTTAGTTCACATGCAAAATATATTATCCAAAAGAAATACTATCATTTGCTAATAGATAAAAGCATCACTTTTTAAAAAATAGCATTTGTTATCATTTTGAAAATCATTATAATAAAGTGATTTTATTACTTGTGATTTGAAATCATTTTTGTTTGGTTTAGAATTATTAACTTTTAGTACTTAGAGATTATTGTATTTGGTATTACTAAAAATCAAATATTATTTTGTTTAAAATTATCACAATAATTATGCTTATGCACAAGTGAATGATTTTAGTGTTATTTAAAAATAATAATTTATAAAATACTAGTAACATTTTATTTATTTAATAATAAAATATAATTAAATTATTAAATTAAAAAATATGTTTATGATAAGTAAACTAGTTTTTATAATATAAATTATAAAAAAAATTGAATTAAAAAATAAAACTAATCTATTAAAACTAAAAGATTATTATATATAAGTTAAAAATTTTAAAAAACTTCACAAATTATTTTTGAGCTTGTTACAATAAATATTAGTTTAAAAATATAAAAGTTTATAATATAAAATAATTGCAATTAATTTTGATTAGAAGTAAGTTTTTAATTGACATATTCAATGAGTAATATCGATTATTGTTAATTTTACATATCACTTCATTTTAGTGACAAAAGTTTCTCACCCTTTTTATATTTGAATTTGATTATTTTTCAAAACAGTAAACTAATCACTTTTATTAATCCAAGATCACCTTCATATACGATCATTAAGTGATTATCAAACTTGATAATCTAATTATAGTTCATAAATCATTATGATTATTTTAAGAAATCAATACTTATCAAACCCTACCAAAATATTTACTTTTCCCTCTAGCTCGCTCCTGGGCATATACATGATTTGCTTTGCATTCAAGTGATTAAAGTAAATGAGGAAGGTATTTTTTTTCTTTTTTCGATTAAAGTATGAAAGATACCTTTAATTTAAAAACTCAATCATCTTTAGACTTTTAGGAAAAAAAAAGTCAAATTTTACTAGAGTTTTTTTATATTTTATAAAAATTAAAAATTTAATTCATATATTATAATTTATACAAATTTAAGCAGCATACTATTTTAATTTAATAGTTTTAGTCTAATCACTAACTCTGTTAAATTTTTATTGTTAAAAACGTTAATATGATTGTTGATTTGATAACGTGGATATTAACTTTGCTGATATGACATTAACCTATGAACGTGATAACTTGGATGGATAAAATCAATTATTAAATTATACATATGGTCTTTATACTCATATGAAATTTGAAATTTTAATCTTCATACTCAAATGAAATTTGAAATTTAATCCTTCTAGTATAAAAATTTCAATATTTCAAAATTTTAATATATTTTTTAGATTTTGATTAAATAAGATGACAAAATTCAATATATAAAAAATTTTATAAAAATTTTAAAAAGTTAAAAACAAAAAATTCAATATTTTGATTAAATAAAGTGTTGAAATTTGAAAAACTAAAAAATGATTTTTATTTAAAAAACTAAAATATTGAAACAAGTACATTTAATATTTTTTAAAAATTAAAAAAATTCAAAATATAGAAGTTTTTAAAAATTAAAATATAAGTTTAAAAACATTCGAAAATATATTAAAAAAATTTAAATATTTAAAGAATAATAAATTAATATTTTAAAAATATAAAAAATTTCAAAAAAACTTTGAGATTTGATTTTTTTTAAAAATAAAATTTGATTATTAAAAAAAGTAAAAAAAAAGATTTTTATTAGTAATTCTACTAACATTATTAATTTTTATTTGTATGAGGATGAGATTTTTATGAAATTATATGAAAGGGATTAAATTTTAAATTTCGTATAAATGTAAAGATCATTTGTATAAATTAATAATTAGTTTCATTTATTGAAGTTACCATGTCAATAAGGACGGATCATAAGCATGGCTAAGGGGTGAAGTCTTTTCCAAGATTTTTGAAAATTTCCTTTTATTCATATATGGATATGTATATTTGCATTAAATAATTTAAATTGGAACTTTTTTTAATTTAGACTTTTTAAATTAAAAGGACAAAATTATATTGATATCTTGTCTATTTATTTTACCTATTAATCACTATTGACAAATACTTAAAATCGATTGATTTGTCTAAAATATTATCATAATTCATATGAATTTTGAAAAAATCCAATTTAACTTTTTAAATTCTAACTTATATTGAGTAAGATAAATTGAATTTAAAATTTCAATTGAAACATTTTGAGTGTGATATGCACAATGATGTGAAACATTAAAATTTATCTTTTTTTTTTATCACAATTATGACTTATTTTGATAGAAATTGAAAAATAAAAAATATATTATCTCATTAATAAATTGATTAAGTTTATTCTAATTTTTTTCAGTATCTATAATAACTAGAGAGCTAAGCGAACATTTTCAACTATGAAAATAATCAAAATAAGACTATAAAATAAGATGAAAGATGTGTTTCTTATAAATAATGATGTCGTCAATATAGAAAGAAAGACTTGGTTCAAATTCAATTCTTGAAAATTTTAATTTTTCAAAAATGAACATTACTCTCAATTTTAAATAAAATTATTTGTTGGCTATATTTTATTTTCTTATACTTGTATTTTGAATTAATAAAATATAAGATTTTATAAGTTTGTTTTTTTTTTTGGTATATTATTACATATATGTTTCATGATAATCAAATATATAGTAATATAACTCAAATGAAAAATATATTAAAATTTTAAACTTTTAATTAGCCCTCTAAAAATCAAACATTAAGATCTGTCACTGTACGTTAGTAAGTTAATGCTACGTCAGCAAAGTCAATGCACAAATCATCAAATCAACGGTTATGTCAACATTTTTAACGAGTTGATTGGACTAAAATTATCAAATCAAAGTATTACAAGAATTAAACTTGTATGAATTATAGTACATCTACTAAATTTTAAATTTTCATAAAATAGAATGACCTTTAGCATAATTTAACCAAAAAAAGTCATCCATCTTCAAGTTGTTTTTACTTTTTTTTGCTGGCAATACTATACTTAAAAGTGATAACAGTTCGAATCAAATTAGATTTGTTTTTTTTTAAGATAATACATAATATTATAAATTTTTAAAATTTGATTTGAATCCGAATTGATTTTCCTTTAAAACCAATTAGATTCAAATCAATTTTTACCAATTGGATTTAGTTCATCAGTTTTTAAATTTTTAAATTTTAAAAATTTTGATGTTATTTTAATATATTTAAATAGATTTAGATATAAAATAATTATTTTATTTTATAAAAATTTAAAAATTATATTAATTAATAAAAATATATAATTTGATTCAAATATTTCTAATTTTTCACTATCATTATAGGGGTTTTGATTTTTAGTGACTTTTTTTTTTTTTTTTTTTTTTTTACGTTTAGCAGTGTTTATAAATGCCATAAAAAGATTTGTGGTGT